GACAAGCAAGTGATCACAGCTTGGAACATCATGTCATCTGTGTGACAGACCTTATCATTTAATACACAAATACAGTTTGACTTTTCCAAATTAAAATACCCTGAATGAAATGGCCATCCTTCTTTAAGGGTTTATGCCTAAATCAGCCAGAAACCTTTTCCTGACCCCAAACCATTCATCCATGTCTAATCAATGCTTTTCTTTTAGAGAGAAACATTGATTTGTTGTTCCACTTATCTATGCATTCATTGGCTGATTCTAGGTAAACATTTTTTAAAGAATTTATTTTTAGAGGGCGGGGGGAGAGAGAGAAGGGAAAAAGGGAGCGCATGCACCAGGATTTATGCTTTTGAACTGCTTGAGCAGTTATATGCTTTGCACAGCAAGGAATTAAGGGTCACAACAGTAGCCCATACTTTAGGTTGAAGGAAGCAAATGGAATGCCTAATGCTTATTATTACATACCTAGATCTCCCGCAAAAACAATGTACTCAAAATCTTTTAGAGAACCTATGATTTTACTTATTGTAAAGTCATGGAGGTTTATCTTAGACTGTAACAAATACTATTATAGGAAAGCAAACACATCCAAAACAGGGAGTAAGAAATAGATGGTGGCTCCCTCTTCTCTCTCTTGCACACCTACACCTTCCTCCTTAATTATGTGCCTTTGCTTTCTATCTCCTAAGCTCCCAGGGCCTGCCTTTTTCCTCTATTAACTTGTTCCCTGAGTCTATACAGCCCAGCCAGCTCACTTCTACCTCTGTGACTTTGTAAGTACACTTCTTACATTGGGGGGGAGAGGGGGGAGGAGGAGGGGGGAGGGGAGGGGGGGCGGGCGACTACTAAACAGACGGTAAAAGTGCGCTCTAAAAACTTATCAAAATCTCAAGGCTTTACTACTGGCACTTTAAGCAGACAAAGTTACAAATACTCTTGTACCAGAGGGCATAATCTAAATGTTTTCTGGAAGAGTCAACCATGCCAAAGTGCTATGCTACTCATAAAAGAGAAATGCGCAATTTTTTTGTACATTGCAGTGTAATGCTGCTCTGGATTCCTGAAAACTCACAACAATGTGCATAGGTGCCTTCGATGCAACCAATGAGCCCCTAAGTTAATTCCATCATGCAATAGAACATACTGATTCCTTGAGGAGGAATGAATTCCTAAGAGGAAAGAGGACTCTTTTCAGTTGTTTTTAAGTGTCAATACAACTTACAAGAACGCACAAATCAGTCCAATTAACATTTTAAAAACTGCTTTGCTAGACAAGCAAAAAATACGCAAACAGAAGGTATTAACAGTGTAGCTTTGCTAAGCACATGAAAATTTGATGGAACTGGGGTACATCTGAGATCTTGCTACCTGGAATACATCATCAGTCTGGCTTACATAATAAAACTCATAAAAGGACCCGGGCTCTACGCTAGCTAGGTACCAACAGGGGCCCATTGTACCCCACTGGTTTCCTGCTTTGCACTGAATGAGTTTAGATGAGTTTCTCTTGGAATTCTGGGCCTAAATAGCAGGGCCATAACTTCTTTTTAATATGGATTGCTTACTGAGAGTCTGAACAAAATCTTTGCTGGTTAAATGAGAAAGAACTCCTAGGCTCTTAAAGGGAAAGGATGCTTGCCTCCCCAACTTGAATATCCAATGGGATGATAGTTTTTCAGATCCCTAAACCCAGGGTGGCAGAGATGGACAGCCAGAGTCATGGGTTGCAGTAGCACAACTAATTCTGATCTCAAAGCCAGTGGGAGGGAGCCTTGGGGAAAAAAGGCAGGGCAACCTGAGATGTGCCATTGCCTTGGAAAGCACTGTGGTTGCAGCAGCATCTGGTAAACTGTTACTGGCCTTTACTCAGGTAATCTTAGGTGATTAAGAATCTGTGGGATAGCCTAGGGCAATACTTCCTCTAGGGCATGAGACAATCATCTAGGAATATCTACTGCATTTAACTCATATGGAGATGTCATGTAAGAGCTGACTTTTCCTAGAAGTTTGTTCAGACTCTACAAATCTCAAAATTAAGATGGGAAATCATCCCTCTGAGGCCAACAAGTCCCACAACTGTCAGCCTACTAAGATGGCTGAAATGAGGATCCTTGACACTTCTAAATTAATTTTTGTACAATTAGAAAACTATAAAATAGGCATAATGAATGGAAAACATTTAATTGGTCTCTCAAAGCTTTTAAGAGGATTTGGGTAAGTATTATCAACCTATCATGTCATTTAGGTGTCAACCCCATTCTTTGAGGTATTAAAAATGGCTGGTCTTATTTTAAGAGAGGAGGCCATTTGTAACCTGACTGATCAAGGACATATAAATTATAAATGCCTCCAGGGCAAAATTTTAATCCAATTGTTGTTTTACAGTTTCTCATGGCTATAAGGTCTGTGTCTGCATGTATCTATATTATGTATGTTGTATATGTGAAATAATTTTCTACCTCTAGATGATAGCTAAAATTTTTAAAGGCAAGCACTTGTAAGAATTGACTATTCTAAAATTCTTAGAAGTACAGAAAGTAACTTAAATGCTCTTCAAGTTCACATGATCAAAGATTCATCATTAGTAAATAAAAGCTAGCTTAAGTTTTTGGTTTAAGTAAAACATGCATGTCTCTATTTTGCCTGGGTTTTACAAAAACAAGTTTATATTAAATAATCAATTTTTTATGTCTGTGATAAGTATTTCTCGAGGTTATAAAATGTTCAAGATAAAGAATGCTAATTGATTACTTATTAGTTTTCATTACACACTATCGTTTTACGGTTAAAAATCTCAAAATACGTAGAAATGACGCTGAGGTGTTTCAGAAGGTCCGTTAGGCAGCAGCTAGGAATGAGCGGCCAGAGGCAAAATAAAAGACAGGGCCCTCATTACTACAATCTAACAAAGAACTTAATACAGGAGGCTAAAGGCAAAAGGAAGATAAGCCTCACCAATTAACTCAGCAGTCATGAGTTTAGTTTGACAAAACTGCCAGGTGTCCTGAGCATCACAAGCAAAAGGAGTGCAGAAGGGGAGTCCCTGAAGACTGTGTTGAGAAAAGAGGGGCTTCTGTAAAAATCTTACTAAGATCGCAGGGTGTTCTGAACATCACAAGTGGGAACTGCACAGGAAGAAGAGGGGAGCCTATGCTGGGAAAGGGAGCTTCTGTAACAATTTCACTGAGACAAAGAGCCTTTACTAACTACATTATTCCCAAAGGACAAGAGGAGGAGAAACCTAGAATAACTGACTCAAGTATATAACCCCTGAACCCTGATAGCATACGTATATTAGCTAAGTACCCACTTGCAGCTTCGGCTCAAGTGTATAGAATTTTCTTTCTTTCCTCTACACCTGGGGCATTTAGACTAACTGGGTGCCTGCTTGAAGCTTTGTGATCATGTGTGCTTCATAAATAAACTTGCTATCTCAATTCCACTATATGTGTTGTCTCTTGCTTGAATTCATCTCTTGCAGCAAGATAAAAATCTAGGTGGAGGCAAGGGGGTCTCCTGATTGGGGTCTCTCTCCCCCCTCCAAAACACCTCAAACACCTGAAGAAATCACTTGGGAAGAATAGTAAAATAAGTGATGAAAATCTTTAGGGTCTATTTTATGGGTAAATAATGGTTGTAAATTAAATAGTCAGGGATATGGGAAACCCAAGATGGCTACCTGGTCCTTCCATGCTCCCTGGCTCTCCACTTTTCTTTTTTTCTTTTTGTATCACAGTGCACTTACACTAGACTCAGATAAAGGAACTTAGGAGTTACCACTATTGAAAGGATACATCTTACACTATTGCCAAAGTTTGACAGTCACTTCAAGAAGTTGTAACGGCTTCCTTTTACAGCAAGCTCCCAGGAGACAAAGACCTTAAAAAATCACTGACTGATCACTCCATATTTTGCTTTTTGGAAAGAACATTGTTAAGACAGTCTTCAATCTCACTGTAAGGGACCTTATCAGGTGCCTAACCATGAATGGACATCTACCCATCTGTGGAAATCAAAGACTCCTTGAGGATGAGAAGCCACTAATACCAGAAATAGACAGCAACCCAAAACATCAACAAGACATCAATACCTATGGATTCATACTGAACTCAGAATCCACTGTTTGCATTTATCTGTCTGCTAATTATACAACTGCATATCATTATACAGTTATGTATATACGATATATAACCATATAATACTATGAATTACATAGTATCAGCAATAAGTTACACCTATTCTTTGGGTTTTTCTATATAGTTCAACTGTTTGATTACTGAACATATGTAACTGTTAGTACTCATTGTGGCTTATGTAAATATAATACTATATGCCAGGTACTAAATGCCAAATGAGACAGAAAGTAACATAAGTCATAGGACAGAAACAATTCAGAACGATTTTTATTGCAATGAAGGCCATAAGACCTAACTGCCTTCCATTTACCCCGCTTCCCTATTTTAGAAAAATTCAGCCTCAACTCAGATTCTATCGTTTTGACATCAATACTGAGAATTCCTAGGAATGAACCTTCCTATCACTGTCAGATGACTATCCAACCAAAAGCTTGGTCATTGATGCATCCTTTTAAATTGATTTGACCAAAAGGGGGAACTATAGATGGAAAAAAAGGACTCTATGAGAAGTAATTTACAGGGTGATCTGATCATAAATTCCTAACCAGGCAGGTCACAGTGGATAGTCAGCCTCAGGCACACAAGTTCTTTAAACTTTAAATAAGCTTTCTGCGCACTTCCCAGAAAAAAAAAATCTCATGCTCTGCCATAATTAGAAAACCAAGTGTCTGGCCTCCTGACCCCAGAATTGCTACATGCTAAGGACAGCATGTACCATGAATAATTTAACATATTTAAAAAAATCAAAATAATTCAAAATCTTCCCAGGCAAAATCTTGCAAGATATGACATATAAACATTCATTTTGGAAGATTCTCGCCAACAACTTTAACAGAAATGTGACTTCCTACTAAGAAAACCAACTTATTCTTACTTTTTTTTAGGTGATATTCAGTATTTATAAAGAATGTCAAAACTATGGAAGTACACTATATAACTCCCAGTGTAATGTGGTTTTACTAAACCAGAACTACATTCTTTCCTTTCATGTAACAAGTTTATGAACATAAACAGATAATGCTAAAAGCATTAAGTGAAGGGTACCAAGAGACAATTACTAAATTTTCAAGAGAAATGTCTGTAACTGTAACAAAAAAATGATATATTTTAAGTGATCAAGTTCTGTATCAACAGTAAAACTGACATAATGCAACATTACACACTTTTAAAATATTCTTGTCAGAGCAAATGCAAGCCAAACATGATAATCAAGCCTCTAGACCAGGAAAATACTAAACGACACCTGAAGAAAAAGAGAATCAGTAAATATAGGACACTAAAAAACAATCAGTAAATACAGGACACTCAAGAAAACTTTTCTTCAAAACCTCAAGGTTACAAAAAGAAAAAGTGGGCAGAGGTGGAGAGATTAAGAGATTAAATTTAACCAAATGCAATCGATAAACCCTGACCGGACCTGGGTTGGAAAAACTGGCCATTTAAGACTTTTTGATCTACTCATTTAAGTCAGTAAATTAATCTTCAAAGTGCTAAAGAGAAATAGCTATTTTAGAAGTAGGCAAAAAGGGAGCAAAACTTAACAGGGATATAAGAGCAAGGTAAGTCTTACCCTTTAGACAATGCAAAATTCACTGTATTACCTCTATTTATCTTCCTTCATCCACCCCCTCAACCCATGTTGCAAGAAAAATCCTTATCTTTTATCTAGCTTACAGGAATGAGAATCTCAACAAAAATTAAGAGAAACACAGGGCAGTGGTTTCCTTGCAGTCCATACCTCCTGGAAGAATTCACTTCAAGCTCATTATTTGGGTTTCTTATCCATTGGTTCCTAGTAATGAGGTTGATTTCCCTGCAAAACACATTTTCATGTTGTGCCCTGTAACTGACATCAATACAAATGCTCTTATCTAAGAACACTTTGTAGTCAGCTGTGAACAAACAGATCCTTAATTATGTGTATCAAAGGGTGTCACTATGGTACTACAAATGCAGGCCCAAGAAAGGGGCGAAGCAAAGCAGTTCTAAATATCTCATTTGCTGTATTTTGTTTTTCTACTTGAGGCGAGAAACCTTGGAAGAAAATAGTCCCATGTGCATGCACCACCACTCCAACTCTGATGATGAATATTACATTTAACGGTGATGCCTTTGAAAATAGGTCTTTTCTTATGCCATCTCACACTGTTGTAGAAACCAAGATTACCAACATATTTAACATGTTTAGTTAACATTTGGGACAGTGTGCTAAGTAAAAATATAAAATGAAAAAGAAACATATAAGCCTGTATTTATAAAGTGATAAACCTTGCTATGACTTCTTTCTTGCCTGCTTTGAACTATTAATTTGACAAAGTTGGAAGAGGAACAGTACAGCTGATACACCGACATCTCAACACTGCAGTAATATACCATCAAAAATTGACCAGACTCTACTATAAGGATGAAAAATTTACAATACACCCAATAAACCACATGGCATTGTGAAGAGAAAAATGAAGTTGGGGAAACATGCCACAAATTGTATTTGGTTTAGAGGAGGGACAAAAAAAGAATGGAAGACACAGGGTGGGAAGGATACTTGAGGTTCTATGTTTTAGGTAGCTGTACCTCCTTCAAGCAAATTAAACTTCTAGTAACTCATCTATAAAGTGAATTCATTGAACTAAATGATTGCTAAAGTCCATCTCAACTCTAGATCAGATCCTAAAAAAACAACAAGGAATCCAACATTTCAGAAGCCCAGAAAAAATACAAAATGCTGAAACACAGTAATGGTATTATAACTATTCAGCATGAACACAGAACTAAAGGACATTGTTATAATGGAATAGAAAATTAAATCTTCTATATCTGTGCAAAACTGATAATGAAGTAGCTAACCCTCTGCTTCCTTAAAATAGGTATTTTTCATTACCTGAAGACACAACTGAGTTAATACAAAAAGAAGAGTCCAAACTGTCAACTTTCAGTACTCCACTTTCCCCTCTTTAATTTGGCATTTTGCACTATATACATCAATGAAAATTTGAAACAAAAAGAACTTTAGTCAAACTCCCCTTCCTCCTCCAGCTTTATTGGATATTTTAAAATTACATTTCTATTTTCTAGGACTTCAGTTGCTTTTTCCATGACATTTAAAACTGATTACATCAAATGAAACACAGTTGTCTAAGTGATATAGTATACAAAAATAACATCTTGATTTCTGTGAAAATGCATTTCTCTGCAATTCCTGAATAGCTCCAAATTATACTTATTCTGAGCATAGATGTTTACTCTGGGTTTTAGATTTCATCTTTGCAACGAATGTGTTCTAAACCTTTGCCATCACCATTTGTATACCCAGTAGCAATGCTAAGTTGTTCCTGTTTAGGCTTTTATCCTATTTTTATCCCAATTTTCCTCGCAGACATTAACACACATATTTTTTTATTTTGTTTACTCCCACTCAACTGTATGATCTATGTAGGGCCTGATACAGATGTTAATTGATGTTATTTAACAGCTACTGAGGTCAGACAATCCAAGGCCATCATTATGCTAAAATTAAAGTTATTTATGGAAGCTCTCAGCCACTTCCAGAATTGGTTTTTACCCTCTGTATGGGAACATATTCAAGAAACCCAGAACGGGCTTACTGGTCTGATTCAACTCTTCCCATTCATCAATCCCTATTCACCAGTGGCATGGAAAGGGGGTTCTTTAACAAAGCATTATACATAACACCTCTACCAAACTAAACATAAACTTTTTTTTTGTAGTTAAATGCAGAAAGTCGATTTTTTTTCCACCCCTTTCCTCCTTTTACATGGCAAGTAAAGCTCACTGGCCTGGGAGTAGCCTCTATCTGCCAACCTTTGGCCAGTGAAGAGGATCCAGAAAAAATAATACAACCATCAATCAGAAAAAGGAGGGGCGACAAAGGAAAATAATTAAGCCGTGGCCTCAATTGTGCATTCCCGTGCAAGGTGCCCTGATTCGCCGCAGCGGTAACAGTTGACCTCACTTGTCTTGCTGCAGTTGATGGCTACATGACCAGTTTCACCACACCTAAAAAAAAAAAAAATTAAAAGTTTCACAATGGTGCTCAGAAAATGTACTAAAGCAATAGTTACTGTGCAACAAAAAGCAATGACAAGTAAATTAACATATTTGTTTTCAAGACAGTAAGTCTTATCATTAAACCCTAACCTAAAAGCAAGAACAAATTAGATAACAAAGCTACTCAATTGTGCAGCAAAGCCAGAAAATTAAAATTTCCCCAAAATATATAAACCAACATCAAAACCCAAATACAGGACAAGATATTGTATCTTAAAAAAAAAGACGAAAGATTTGATATACTTTTAGAGAGATGGAAAGAGAGGGAGAAAGAGAGAAATATTGATGTGCAAGAGAAATATCGATCAGTTGCCTCTCACGTGCCCCTCAATCAGGGACTTGGCCCACAACCCAAGCATGTGCTCTGACTGGAAATCACACTGGCAACCTTTTGGTTTCCAGAACAATGCCCAACTTACTGAGCTACACCATTCAGGACCAAGATGTTATATCTTTATGCAAAATAATCTGTAAGACTGCAAAGGTATGTACACATCAAAACCTACAACATTCTTATTTTTAACACATTAAAAATTCCAAAGTTGTGTAAGCTGTCCAGCTGTCATAAGCTATCATGGCAGAATACTAACTAATGTACAGATAGGTTGCTGGTTATGTATGCCAAAAATCCATCTCATCTGGAAACGGCCAACTTTCAGTGAAATGTACTGATCCACAAATTCTTTCCATTTATAGCTAATTCATCTCTAAAATGATCTCTACAATTAGCGTTCCTGCAGCAACATTCTAACTTACCTATAGCACTTCACTTTGGTGCAGTCTTTTTGAATATGTCCAAATTCTCCACAAGAATAGCACTTCTGCTCGTCTGCATGGTCACAGTCACGAGCCAGATGGCCTGGTTTGCCACAGTTGTAGCAGCATTGCTCTCGCTCTCTCTTAGGCTCCTTGCAGTCCTTGGCAATGTGGCCACCTCGACCGCAGTTATAGCAGGCTTCAACAGTAAGAAAAAGAAGCAGACCAAGACTATAAAATCTTTACAAAACGTTGCTATGTTTTACACCACAAAATATGAAATCACAAGGGTGGAAAATCTTTTCCAATGTTACGTGTATGCTCACCTCTCCAAGTTCCAGAAGGGTATGAGAAGTGTTAAATACTTACCATCCTCCTGAAGATCACAATCCTTGGCAAGATGACCAGACTCACCACAGCGATAACAGATGTCTGGAAGAGACGAGGAAACAAACTGGAAACCTATTTCGGGCAGAAACAAAAATAATTTAGCTAATTAGACCAGTCTTGATATTAAAAAATATTCAAGTACTTCAAAATTTTTTATTTGACAAAAATACCTCTATCCGAGGTAAAACCACCTCTGCCACGGCTTCTCATTCCACGACCACGGCCTCCACCAGTAGGGCATTCCCGGGCCCAGTGGCCAGATCGTCCACACTTGAAGCACTCATTGCTGCTCATGGCTGCAGTTAGATCTTCGAAATATTAAAAATGACAACATTTAACCACTTGCAATTACTTTTACCTTTTATTTGCCTTTTCTGTGTTTTGGGGTATTTATTCTGGGGAGGGAGGGAAGCCAGCAAACATTCTGGTTTGAAGAATAATTGCACAACTACATGCTTAGGCACCTATACACACAGTATGAAATATATTAAAAGTGAAAAACTGCCAAACATTACATATATTTTCATACAATTCTTGATTGTTAAGTATATCAAGATTATGTATATATAAGATCAATATACAAATGTTAATTTGGTTATTGGTGGGGTAATAGAATTCTCAGGGTATTAATGAACACCCATTACTAAACATAATTAGTAATACCTCATTCCAGGTCCAACCTAATATACACTTTTCATGGTTATCGGCCAGTAAACTTTATTTTGGGCAACTGAAGTAATTTACTGACTAGAAAATTGGAGTAACCCAAACCAGTGGAGCTGCAGTTTAGATTCTGTGAAGGGTAGGTGAATAATACTTTCTCTCTGCAACCACAGCACCTACATAGTGCCTAGTTATACTATAGCGCTTGCATGTTGATTTGAGTCTTCAGAGCAGATATATTAATAGAAATGCAAGATACAAATTTTACCTCTAGAGGGAAAAGTATGTCAAAAATATCAGAAAAACAACAAAGAGGTACACTAACATGCTAATACCACCTAAAGCACTGGGACCATGTATATTTTTCTATTTTTCTATTTTCAAATTGTTCTGTAATTTTACATTTAAAACAAAGCTACTTGGAATTTCATAACAGACTCCTTTATTGTATTATTTTTTTCCAAATGAAAGCAAACTCCTACCAAAGCAAATGAATTTTATACTTTTATGTAACAATCTAAAAATAAACAGGCTATTCCTGGAAAGGAATGGAAATGGAATGTTGCAGGACAAACTCCTGGTAAAGTGGCTTTTAAAAAAGGGACTAGCTAAAAATAATGTAACCTTTACATCGTCAAACTTCCGTATCTAATTCCAGTTTCAAGCAATGGCACACAAAAGTTTTTAATTTTATTGTTTTTTTAATCTTCACCCAAGGACATTTTTTCATTGCTTAGAGAGGAAGGGAGAGAGAGAAACATCAACCTGCTGCCTCCTGTATGTGCCTCGATCAGGAATCAAACCTGCAATCCTTTGGTTATTGGGCAATGCTCCAACCAGCTGGACTATACTGGCCAGGGCAGTACATATTTTTTAAAATTATTATTATTAAAGATGTTACATCAATCAGTTGCCTCTTGCACGTGCTCCAACCAGGGACTAAACCTACAACCCAGGCATGTGCCCTGAGCAGGCATTGAACCAGGGGCCTTTCGCTTTGCAGTTAAGATGCCCAGACCACACCGGTCAGGACATTTTTAAAATACCCTCTCAAAGCCAAGCACAAGCACCACGATCTAGCAAAACACACTGCTTCATATAGATTGACTGGATAGTGGAATCACCCAAACAAACCATAGCACCTTTAAGTCAGTACACGGTGCATAACAGTTTATCAAGTTGCACAGGAATCCAGGGACCAAAATTTAAGCTCAAGTTGAATTTCAAAAGCTTCCATAGTCGATTTTTTTTTAAGTTTAATATTTACTTATCCTACCTCTCTGCAATCAGTTTCAGGATAACCTTTCGGATCAATCTTTCAACCAGTTCTTGCCACTTGTCATATAAACATATTACCAACCCCCTGCCCCCCAAAACCATATCGGGCAACACCTATATGGGATACTTGTAGTTAGTGGTTTCAGATACATAAAGCACATTTCTAGTTAGAAGAAACCAGTCAGGGAAGATTAAAAATGTATTTTTGCAAAATTTGAGATTACATTTGTTTTCTAAAATGGTGTTATTCTAAATCATGTGAAGAGCTGGTTTTCACCTAAGAGAACAGGCAGGGTGAAAAAAATGAATGGCACATAAAATAATCACAGATAAAAGCTGATTACAGCACCTCATCCTTCCCTCATTTCCATTTTCTTCATTTTCTATCTTCTCCATTTTACAGTCAGACCTATTTGAGCACATTTAACTATTCTCAATGAGTTCTTTACACAGAAACAATCACTTCCTTAATATAAGATAATTCAGGCAATATGAAGTATTTTAAAATTTAATATTTAGACACGACACTATCTTTTAGAAAACAGGACAATCCAATAGTCAACATGCATTTAAGTTAAAAAAAAAAATGAAAATTTGAGCAATCTCCCCTTTAGACTACTGTTTTAAAAGAACCTCTTGTTTATTTCATAATAGTAAAGTACAAAGAAAGTATGCTATAAATGAATCATCAGATATTTATCAGTGAAAAAGTCAGCAGTTAAAATTTTAGGTTTACTTTCAGCACAGAAGTACTAGTTTAAAAAGATTTAGCTACTCCAGAACTGACTAACCTATGTGCAGATTCTTCATGAACTGTTTTTTTCTCCGTTCTGGGGACCCAGACACAAAATGAACAGAAAAAAAAAAAAAGAAAAAGAAAAAGACAAGAAAAGTACTATTTTAGAAAGAAGACAATAAGCTAAAATAACAATTTCATGTTAAACACAAAACTCTACTTCTTCCTACCCTGATTCCTAATTGAAAGTTGGTTAAAATGTGATTTCTACATGAACTACAAATTTAGAGAAAGCAGTTTGTTTCCATTTAGATTGCAATTAAAAAAACTATTCTGCTGAAAGACGAGCACAAATCAGTGGCAAAGGTAGAATTTTATACACTGAAACTTGTTTTAATTGCTTGTTTTGGCATCAACAAATTTTAATCTCACATACATTTGTTTACTGGAGTAAATTAAGCTTTTAGAAACCCCACTAAGTCTTAAAGGGAAAGGAAACATTAACTTCATTAATATTCCAAAATCCATCATCAGTGGGGCATATCCCAGTGTGCTCAGATAATGTGTAGCAATCTGCTTTCACTCTCTTAGGCCCAATCACAGCCAGTCAGCAGGTCTACATTTTCACTGAGCCCCTTGAAAATAGTCATCTCTGCAGTAACATTAAACTACCAGATTCCCACTATGTTTCAGAGCCATGCTACTTATCCTAGGAGGAAGGTCCCATCCCAATAGTCATATACAAATGTATTTGGCCAAAAGGTCTTAAGAGAATCTCATACTATTTGTTAGGAAAACTAAAGGCAGTAAGGTAAAGCAGAGTTGAGACAAAGCTCTGTGATTCTCCAGGCCTACGACTGCTCTTGGCTAGAATTTTGCTGCACTTGCCTCTGTCCCCTCCACCTGCCACAACCTTTTCCAACCTTCAAGGGCCAACTCAAATGCCAACTCTATAAAACAATCTGACATCTCCCAGCCTGGAACTCTCCTTCCTATTAAGACCCAGGACACTTTGTTAGTATTTGTCTGATGGCACTATTATACTTGCATTTTATCACATTCCTTGAGGGCAGAGTGATTCATCTTTGAATTATCAAAATTATCATTGTTCTTTTAGTATTTACACAGTTCTATTTTAACTGTTTTGGGGGGTGGGAGGCCTAGTAGTCATTTGTTGAATGAAAACAAATTATGTTTCTTTTACAGACCCAATCCAACCTAGTCAAGTACTGACAATAAAATACCTAAATTCTTGCTATCATGAGTCACTGCATCATTAGTTTAAAGCAGTGATTTTCAACCTTCTTCATCTCAAGGCACACATAAACTATTTACTATAAAATGCTGCAGCATGCCAAAAAAATGTTTTTCGCCAATCTGACCAAAAAAAAAAAAAAAAAAAAAAAAAAAAAAAAGATGTAATTTGGATTCATTCACACGGGATGGATATTGTTGTGTTAGCTGTTGTCATTTTTTAAATTTGACAACCTAAGGGAAAAGAGATCAGTGCCCCTGACTAAACAGTCAGGTATTGCATATTTTAAAAATTCTTGCAGCACACCAGTGTGCAAAGCAACAATGTATTTTCAATTAGGTACTCATGAAGGATCAACTACAATCACTCTAAACTCAAGAACATTTAAGATTATTTAATAAAATTCCCCTATACAACAGAAATTTTCACTCCAGCTTACTCAGCAGCCAAGCCGGGACCTGTAACCTGCTTCCCAGGCTCTTCCTGTTACTCCAAGAAATCACAACCAACCTCAGTAATATTCTACAGAATGCCACAAAACACACATATATACTAACTTAAAAGATAAAATACTGCATTTTCACTGTTGCCAGGCAAGAGAGCGTATTTTCTTCCTTTTGCTGCTAAAAATCATTGCAGTATCTACACCAATATATCCTTACCCAGTAGGATTTTGGGACCATTAGGTTACCCTGGGTTAACCATTTGACCCAGTTTAAGGATTTACTTTTACTATGTTACCTCAGGCACTTGACCTCCACTTGTCCTTATTTGGAAAAGGAAGATGATAAAACTATCTGTGATGAGAACTGTTGCCAGGTGCCACGTGCTTAACAGATCCTCATTTTTAAAAACTGCCAGGCTTTATGTCCTCTGCTTACACAGTTTCTCTTTTCCACTCTTACTCCAATTAAGTTATACTGCTTAAAAGTAGACAGAACTCAGTCTAATGTCTACATAGCAGGCTTAGGTGGGCTAACTCTTACACCCGTTTCCTATTTCACATATTTCACAAAGTCTACTTCCTGAATGAAGAGAAAAAAATAGTTGAATTCTAAATGACTTCACATTTTCAACAGAAATCAAATTTTGTTTCCATTTTGATTTTTTTATATCAGATTTTAATGACACAAACTACACCTAAAGATATGGTGAAAGCACAGGGCAACCAGGCAGCAGTTGTAAAGGCAGTCAAGATACTGTTTGAAAAGCTTGAAGATTCACTGTGAGGGACTATGTATTGTAAACTAAAGAGGTCTATTTTACAGATTTTGCACTCTTCTAGGCTTTAAGGTTTAAACCCTTGAATTGGTATCAAAACACAAATGATTATGCTATTTTATCTTCACTAATATCAGTAATCGTACCACATTTTTTATATAAGAACAAAGCCAGTAAACTAGTTAAATCTTAACAGTACATGGCCAAGACTAACAATGAGATCCAATGAATTAAAGAACATAAGTCACCCCACAAATATATTTAAAATAAGAAGGAAAGTGTTGTGTGTGTGCGTGGGGAGGAGGGGTAACAAAGTATGATGGGGATCTAGGTAGCTTTATTTTTTTAATACGATTTTCCTAACACTGCTGTATATATTCACACCTGCTCTATCTCTAGTTATTTTCACCAAGGTTACAATTATCTCTGACTCATCCACATTGTTGACCTAACTGCATTTAGGCCATAGTGGAGATTTTGCCCCCACGAAAGCACTCACCAATTTTTATGCTTGCTTTAATAAATCAGTTTAGTGTTCCAACAGGGTACTAAAGCACTTCAGACTGTTAACAGAAACAAACCACACAAAGACTGGAAGGAAATTACATTGTATATTACCTGCACTCTGGTCAGAATAATGGGGAACAGAGTACAATACTGGGAGCAATCGTATGTTCTTATCCTGGTTTCTGCATTTACCATATGACCTTGGTTATTGTTTACATACATTTCTGCCTGCCCTGGTTACCCCTGAAGGGTTTTAGTTAACAGCTAAATATCTACAATGAGTCAAGGGTTAATCAATATATTATCTATAATCCTTAAAACCCTGCAAGTTATGTATTCTTGCTCCCATTTTACTCATGAAGAAACTGGGGATCTGAGACCAAATGACTTACCCAAAGCCATGTAACTAGAAAGTTCTAAAGTCAGGATTTCAACAGTCCTCTGTAGAGGCTTTTGTTAGAACTAAGGGATAATAAAGTACACAAAAACAGTTATCAGAATAGTATACCAATTCACTCCCTACTTCAAAAATGTTATACAGAGTGTTACTACTATAAAGCAAATAACTGTATGAAGCACGTTAATCTGAATTTCAGATTATGTTCTATTATTTCAAATATACTTTAAAATTCTACATTTAAAAATCCACAGCCATAAATAAATTTATTTACATCACGCTTTCCTGAATTTTAAGCCAAGACAGATATTCTTCTAACCTTCTTCAAGGAATAAGTTAAGAGTGCTACCACAAACCCAAAGACTGGCATCCAATTTTACTAGTTAATATCCCTATTTGTAATTTTGGAGCTACTCCAGGTAATCACTGTACTACTCTCTCATATTCCTGATTAACAGAACCAGTTGATGTACAACTTGAATTTTGGTGGCCACAGCTCTCATTTTTATATTCCAGCAGCTTTTTACATACAACATGAAAATGATGCAGTTTTACTGGAATCTCTAAGCAACACCCTCTTACTGCAACAGCATCTGACACTATCAGAATAGGAATTCTATTAAGTGAGACAGTACCAAGAAAGAGCATTCTCCACACAGCAGGCCAGAATGCCTTGGCATCAGTCTCCTGGTTCTCCACTTACTGTCAGGAGGCTAGAAGAGGAAAGCCAAAAATTCTTCAGAGTGTGCGCGCACACCTAGCACCCCCCCCTCCACCCCGCCCCGGCCCAGGACGTCGACCACGACAACAACAACAACACAAAAACAACTCTCACTCCTGCAGGGAAAAAAATAAAAGAGCAAAATCTCTCTCATGGTCAAATGTTTAGCCAACAAACCAATCTTACCAATTACAGGCACATGTAAGAGATACTGTGGGTTTGGTTCCAGACCACAGCAGTAAAGAGTTTTAATCTTTTTGCTGGTAGAGGGTCCAGCCTTCAATTTGTAAAAAAATGCAACATCTGCTGGGATAAAGTGCAATAAAATGAGGTAAGCCTGAAGTCGAATTGTGGCTCTTACTGCTTGTAAGCACTGATGTGGTACCTTCCCATGTATATACCACATATTTTTATTAGATTTTTAAAAGATAAAAAGGATCCAAATGGTCATTACCATACTACAAAACCCATTAATAATACCTTTAAAAAAATCACTCTGCCAGTTCCAGATGTTCAAATGCTGGTGTAATAATACTTGACCCTTGGTCTTCCACTGATTTGGCTCAAAATATTCAAGACTGCATGTTTGAAACATCACTCTCAAAAAATATCAAACGAAGATACACATCACCCCTCGTTATCATTATGAAAAGAAATGTGGACCTGTGGTTGCTAAGAAAAACTTAACCCAAGTTATGTGACATCAAGTACATAAGTACACAAACATATACTGTTAAACCTGTTAGCTTTTTAAAAATTCTGTTGCCAAGAGTTGCAATTTGGAAAAAAACTTCTTTGTTCAGCTATAGGGAATCTAATAAATCATTCCTTTTATACTCCAACACACAAGAGAGCTTCTTGTAGACGAGAATAAGGCTCAACAAGCTAAAAAGGAGCATGTATCTCCATATGCGAAACTTGGAGGTGTTTGATTAAGCCACGATCACTGATTTTTTGAGAAGCATTTGAAAATAACTGCTTTGCAGGGGAAGGAGAAAAAAAAGTCTAAGAGGTAGGAACTTCATTTCATACATCTTATTAAAGCCCTCAAATTCCAACTTACAATTTATGATGCTAAAGCAAAAGAGAAACAAAGTTGTTAATTTAATTAAAGATTCTCAGTGATGCAGAAATTAACTGGTTATGGTTATGTTTCTAAAACTAGGTCATACAACAAGAAACAAAGAAAACTTATTTTTAAAAACCTGAAATTTGGGGGCAAGACGATATAAATGAATCCTTCTTCACCTTGTAAGAAACAAAAAAATGAAATCAGCCTTTTACACACTATCTGGAGTCAAAATAAGCCATGCTTTCTTTTTCTAAGACCCCAGAAAACCAGATGTCACTTCCTTGGAAGTGTTTGAGGCAATGTGGTTAACATGTGGCAACAAGCAAAATCCTTACCCATAAAAAAATTAACACGCAAACCCAAATACGAGCGATGATGCCTTTCTAAAGCAGGTTTTCGCATTTAGAAAATCTAGGAGCCTGGCTAATTAACCATCATTTCTCACTTTTAGAATAAACAGTATTCGTTTAATTAATCTAATGAATGCTGTGCTATGATTATGGAGACTTGACAAATTCATGGTTTGGTTTTTTCTGATAACAGGATTTTTTTAAAAGGCCCCTCTAACTTAGGTAGTGTTGATTCATTGAAAGCGGGCCCTAGCTGCCCCTTTTCGAATTGCAATGTTAAGACAAATAACTTAGCACTTGAATGACGATAAAAATTGAAGAACTGGGAAGCTGTCAAGTATGGATACTATGAATTCCCGAAACTCTCAGGCCTTCCAGTGGGATGTCCTATCATTCTAAAAGCAAAAACAACTTCAAGGACCCTTTTCTAAGTGCATGAGAACCTTCGGCAAATGGCCCGCCAGGCCCACTAACCCATCTTATGGCCTGCATTTAGTATCTAACCCCATCCCTCCCCACCCCGCCGCATCCATACCAAGGGCTTTTTCGCACCACACGGTCCCCTTTTAATAAGTTCCCGCCAAAATGCCCCTCCGCCTCGCATTCCGAGTCCCTCGAAGTCTCACAGCCTCAGTCCCAAGTGAGCCGGGGCCTCATCTGCTGGAACGCTATGGCCCGGAGTGCGGCCTTGGCCCTGGGAGAAGCCACGACGCGTGGGGGCCCAGCTTCCCAGAAAGGAAAAAAGGACGGGAGGGTCGCCCAACTGCAAGAGGCCGGAAACACGGCCCCGAGGTGGCGGTGGCAGCAGAGTTTCCCGCCTGACGCAGCAGAGCGGAAAAGGCCAAAGTGCGGCCGCCATCGCCGCCTCACCGCTCCCTACCCTCTTCGTCCGCCTCCGACCAGGGCCCGCAGAGCGGTTCTCCCCAGTCCCAACCCCCACTCCCGGTCCTCACCGTCTGCGTCGGAGAGGGCTCGCGGCGGCGGAGACTGAGAGGCAGGCCCAAGTAAGCGGCTCACACGGTAGTGGCTGTTTATTTCCAGGAGAGTCCTTGCCTGCGCCACACGCGGGTCTGCACACGGCCCCACACACGCCGCTGCGCACGGCTCTCGTCCGCCTCGCCCACGCGGCCAATCAGCGCGCAGGGCTCCGACGTCCAATCACAGCTTCTCGCAGGGATGACCGCCCAGCCAGAGCGCGGCGTGGAGAAGCGTGGGGCGGGCATCTTCCGTGCTCCTTGATCTTTCCAGCTGTTCCACCCCGCCCGGCCTTTATTTTCCGGGTTCCCAAGCCTCAGCCCCATTCGGGCCTTTCTCTCTCCTTTCAGTCCCCGTCCGACCGGGGCGGGGGTTGGCCTGTGTGTCCCCGCCTCGGCGATGACTCCTGGCAGCTCGCGACGAGGGATTCCAGTGAACGGGTCTCAGGGAAGTGTTTGTGATAAGCGTAGGCTTGGGAGAAATTCTTTCTCCTTCTTGGCCTCCAAAGAGTGTCTGCCCTTAGACACTTGGCATGGCGGTGCTTCCAAAGGCCGGCCCTATTCCGGGATCCTTCCGTTTGGGGAAAAGTGGCCTGTCAAGTCACAGAAGAGGCTGGAGCTGTAGGCCGCAGCCCCTCAGATTTGTTACGGATTTTGTGTGAGCCAGGAGCAGAGCCCAGAAGTCTACCTGCTTTCGCTTCTAGGTCCTCTCTACCCGCCTCAAAGTAAAACTGGCCATTGAGGGAAAGGCGCCAGCCCTGGTGAGGGCGTGAAGATAGTGAGAGAGTGGCACTGAGACCTAACAGCCTCCCAGCAAAGCTTGTGACCGATTTAGCACATTTATGAACATTCCGTGTTGTCCAAGGTGTAATAGCGAGTGCCAGGAGAGCCACCTGGCCTGGGCTGTCACATTCAGTAATGGCCTTTTAGATTTGGTGTATTCTCCAAAAGAGATGGTGTGTATATATAGTCATAGATACTGTTAAGATAAAATCAATTTAAATTGTTCAATGTGAACTAAAAAATTACAGGATTTTGTGTAATTTTTGTGTAATGGAAAAAAAAAAAAACACCACCGTCCCTAGTCTCTTGAGTTTTAAAAGGCATTGAAATTAATATAGTATCATGTAGACTAAATACGTAGGTTGAAATTAGTATGCAACCCATGTTGTTGGCTAGTATGTCCCAGCAATGTACTTTTTATTCTTTTAACTATTCTTTGCCCTAGTTTCATCTCATTGAATCCTCCCATCCTCAAGGCTGTATGACTTTCGAAATTATGTGTGTGAAATGGCAGTACACTGTTTAGGAGCACAGGCGTTGAAAGTCAGGCATTAAACCTGAGTTCAAATCATTAGTGCTTACTTAGTCATTGTAAAGCATTTAGTAGATTTTATTGAGCACTGTGTTGAGCACAGAGTAGCAATTATTAAAGAGGGAATGGACTATTTTAAAGACCAATGATCTTTTTTTAAAACTTTTGTTAACCAAGACATTTGAAGTAAACATTTTAGAATTCATCACAAAAAGGTCCCATTTCCAGTAAGATCGAATTGCCTAGCACTTTATGTATTGAATGATAATATTGTAGCTACCAATAATAAAACACTATTTTGTGTTTATACAGTTGTGTTAACAAGAAGCTTATACAACTTTATGAGTTTCCCCTTACTGACTGATTAATATTTATAATATCGAGGTAAGGAGTAGTGTAACTGCAGACATTTTAGCAGTGATTTCCTGAGTCAATGTAATATGTCAAAAGTTCAGAAATAGCTAAAGTAAAACCAAAGAGTCAGTAAAGTAATAATTGGTAAAAATTTGTGCACATGCCACAGGACAGTTTATAAACTGGAAGCACTCAAACCAAAGCATGGAATGAGGCTCAGGAGTTTACCGTTACGAAGCAGCTTTTACAGTAAGAAAGTGGTGTCTTTGCAGTGATTGGCAATTATCTAAATTAATGACTGAATCAGTTTTGTCTGTTCAGGGAAGTTTCAAGGCCGGCCTCTGCCTTTTTTTTTTTTTTTTTTTTTTTTTTTTTTTTAATATCACTTAACCCAAAGAGAGGCATAAATTGTTTTTGGCTTTTCTGTTGCATTTGTTGTCTGTTAACTGGTGTCCTAAATTATCAATCTCTTCCTCTCTCTTCTTTAATACTCAACCGAGGTTTATTGATTTTGAGAGAGAGAGAAACATGAATGTAAAAGAGAAACATTGATTGCTTGCCTCCCATATATGCCCCGACCAGGGATCGAATCTGCAACCTAGGTATATGCCCTGACTGACATCAAATCCGTTACCTTTTGGTGTACAGGATGACACTCCAACCAACTGACCCACCTGGCCAGAGCTGTTTCCTTTTGCTTTTAACAAATGTGGGAGACTAGGTAGGTAGTCCACCTTGGGTGCATCCCTGCCCGCTAGGAGGACGAGTTAAAATTGTCATAGGAAATAAAAATTACTATTTCCTGGCTTGACTTTTGTTTACCATTCCAACCACAGAGCTACATAAATTTTTTGCTATTCATTATAGACTGAAGGATGAATGTTCCTAATGTTTTTAAAAATGAGGGCGGGTATGAAATAGAGATATTGGACATAATATTCTTTTATATAGATTTTTAAAGACTTTAGTAGAAGGAATAGAAACATAATGTGGTCTTTGCTGTTTGGCTTTGGAAGTAGTAACAGCTAATGGCTCTCCTCTACCTGGGGTCCAGCTTTCCATAATGACTACTATTAATAGAGCCAAACTGATCGTGAGGCATTATGACTCTACAGGGAAAGCCTGTGGTGGAATTTAACTACAGGGACTCATGTTGCCTGGATATGTCCTTGGGTATACCTATTCACTAGGGATGTTTGAAAAGAAAAACAGGAAAAAGCCAACGCACTCAAAAGATAAATTCCCAACTGTCTTTGAAGAAAGAACCTTCTATTATATTTTCATCCCATAAAGTGTGTTTTATCCCCTTCCTCCCTTCCAGTGTTTAGTCTTATCCAGTGTTTAGTTTACTCAAGATTGCAGTAGTTACAAAGGTGACCAGTTAAGACATGGACCTCGCCCTTCATCTTGTATGATGACAAGGGCCATAAGAAAGTATTAAGTGTCCTGAGAGAGGACCAGCTAAAATCCTCTGATTCAGCATGATTTAGGATTTCTTAAAATGCATGCCAGTTGAGTAACAATGCTTGCTAACTCTTAATTTCTGCTAAAGAGACCCACTGCAATGTACATGCTTTAGCTTCTGCTGTTAAAAGGAGGTGATATGACCATACAAGATCTGTCCAGGAAAAGTCCAGCCATTGTTAATATAACCAGAATGGTTTACACAGTGTTGATGTAACCTGGCAGCTGAGGAGAGTAGACTGGAATGCACATGCATGAACAATGACGACTTCACTGCGCTAGTCAGTGAGGGTGGTAGGCACTGCTGGGTGGGCATGTATACTGTGTGGCTGTCACATTCAAAATGAACAAGTAGAGCAATGAATCTGCATCAAATTTTGCATTAATTTTGAACATTAGCTGCGGAAACTATTTGGGTGGTTCAGAAGGCTTTGGGGGACAATGCAATGAATGCAGCATAAATAAAAGTGTGGTACAAATGCTTCAAAGATGGTTGAGAATCTGTTGAAAGTGATCCATGTTTTGGAAGGCCTGCAACAAGCAGAACCACCTGAGAATGTTGAACATGTACAGGCTGCCATCAACAAAGATCAGTGACTGACAGTGCAAGAACTAGAAGCTGATCTGGGGATTCCAAAAACTACTGTGTCCGAGATTTTGACACAGGATCTTGGCATGAAACATGTTGTGGCAAAATTTGTTCTGCAGCTTCTGCTACCAGAGCAGAAGGAATTTTGTGTTTCAGTTGAGAGAAATGTGTAAGGTCCCAGGGTACCTACTTTGATGGGGACTGAGGTGTCATTGTCCTATGTACAATGTTTCTTGTATCTTCTCTCTTCTTCAATAAATGTCTCTATTTTTCATATTACATGACTGGATATTTTCTGAGCAGACCTCGTATATCCTTCCATGCCTTCTTCCCTCTGCCAGCAGAAAAGTACTCTTTATGACTTTACTTGGAAAGTATGCAACTAAAGTTAAGGAAAATAAATTGCTTCCACCTCTCCTGTCTGCTTCTGAAGCAAAAACATAGTTTACTAAGCTAAATCCTGAAATAGGCATCAGTTATGCTAACAGATAGCTAATAGTTAATATATATAAAGTTTCTATAACAGTGTCTGGCATAGAGTAATTTCTACTAAAGTGTTACCTATTATGGTGGTTATTATTATTTACTGAGTGCTTACTATGCGGCAGGCATTGTTTATAACCCTTTTATAAGTTTTCACAAAACCCCTATGAGATAAGTACTTTTATTTTCCCCATGAGGAAACAGGTACAGAGGATTTAAGTAATCTGTTAAAGGCCATAGAGTTAATAAATGATAGGACAGGCCTCAGAGTCAGACACAAAGCTCCCCAGTAGTTACTGAGACCTATAATTTCTCATTGACTCCTTAAAGTGACAGTGCAGGGCACTGACCAGTGTGGCTCAGTTAGTTGGAGCATCATCCATGACCAAAAGGTTGTGGGTTTGAATCCTGGTCATGGCACATGCCTAGGTTGCAGATTCCTTACCCAGTCCAGCTGTGCATACAGGAGGCAACTGATCAATGTTTCTATCTTGCATCGATGTTTTGTCTCTCCCTCTCTCCTTTCCTTTCTAACTAAAAAGCAATGAAAAAATGTCCTTGGGTGAGAATAATAATAGTAATAATAATAATAATAAATACAGTGACAGTGTAAGGAATGCTAACTGATGATAAGGAAAATATGAAACACTGATTAATAACTTAGCATTCCATTAGTTGGCTTTGTCCTCTGTGACCTCAAATTGATACTGTCTTTACATCTGCAAACCAACTGTCAAGAGAAAAACTTTATTTGCAAATATTTTTTAAAATTTCAAAGTAAAGGGAAAAAAAGAAAAAACTTCAAAGTAAAACCACCCATTCTCTTTTTTTCCTCAAAAGAAATGTAGAACCCTGACTGGGTGGCTCAGTTGGTTCAAGCATCATCCCATAACGTAAAGACTTCAAATTCAATTCCCAAGCATGGTGC